ACTAAATCAGTGATTCTGATAGTGTTTAGGCCAGCAGAGAAGGCTTTGCTGGCCCTGACGGCCCACCACTGCAAAATACAAATAAAAACCTTTTAAATTGATGTGAGATTAAAATGCAAATTGTCTCTCATAATGATTAGATTTTTACTTCTTTTGATATTTTGTTATCTAATGCAATGATTTTCATGGCTTTCGGGCCAAATGTATTTAAATTCTATATACTGTATTCACTTTGAACACTGAAACGACAAATATAGCGTTTCTATTCGGCCCATAGCGTCGCTTATCCCAAAGAACCAGAAGCACATTTTCTTTATTTCCTTTCTGTCTGAAGTAGTTCTTTTTTTGTTTTTATTATTTTAAATACATTCATTTATATTTTTTGTGGGCTGAGGTCTGCCCTCAGCGCGCTAGTATTAAGAGGAATACCGTTTGATTTAGTGCAAATTATATTTAAGACCCGCCGGTTTCCTGCCGTTAACACAAACATGCATCCAAGTCTAGGTGGAAGTGGTCTCTTACTGTCAAACACACACACAAACACAAATTCTTTCTTCATCACACACACTCTCATGCTCTCTCTCTCTCACCACCACACACACACTGACACAAACCCTGCTGTGTTCTCTCACACGCACTCTGTCTGCACTCTGGTCTCTATGAAAAACATGTTGGCCTTGGTCATGCCTGACTTAAAATACATGGCATGCCACCATCCCCTTCTTTGTTGTTTGTAATTGCTCTAACCATTTTATTCAACTGCTGACAGTTCAATATTTCACAACACACAGTTGGTGAAAAATCCCAGTCTTTGATATGACAGCATGCAGTCACAGAAAGACTGCACAAACAGCTTTATTTGCTTTTTCCTTCAACACAAGACCTAAATTAACCAAAATGAAAAGAGATGAATGTATCTCATAGCCATTTTGTCCTGTTAGCTGTTTTACAGTGTAATTTTTCGATGACAAATTAATATTGTTATGCAAGAAAATTCATTCAACGTGAATAGCGGCAAGTGTGATGCAAGTGTGCAGGTGTTCAGGGGATTTGCATGTGGCTTCCTATTTGGTTATGTATTATGGTGTCCTTCTTTATTTTTGTTTTTCTTTTGTGACTATTTTGCAGTATTATTTTAGTATTATTTATATATGTGACCCTGGACCACAAAACCAGTCTTAAGTCGCTGGGGTATATTTGTAGCAATAGAAAAAATACATTGTATGGAAATCTCAAAAATCTCAATTTCGAAAAATTGACCCTTATGACTGGTTTTGTGGTCCAGGGTCACATATATATTTATGTTATGTATGTATTTGTGTGTGCATGTATGCATATGTATATATATATACATACACACACACACATGAAATTAGCTTTTTATATTTTAATTTTAACGTTTTAGTAGTTTTGTTATGCTTTAGTATTTCTATTTAGCTTTAATATACCGTTATTTCAGTTTAGTAGTAATTTTAGGTGTAATTTTACTAGAGAACATTTCTAGTTGAAGGATTTTTTTTTAAGTTTAATACTTTCATATTTTCAATATTTATATATTACTTCATCTTTATTTCAATTAACACAAACTATTTTTAATAGTTTTAGGTTTAGTTAACCACTGTTCTTTTGTGTTATGTCTAAATTGTATTACATTTTCTGTAATTAATAAATTCAGTAGACTGAATGTCAGTTTATGGGTTAAGTGCACAAATAATAATCTCATTCTCTGTAGATTTTATTTACTTTACTTTACTTTATTTGATCTCAGCCCTTATTTAACCCATATTTGTGTGCATACAGATGGAGGCTTTTCTCCAGCAGAAACAGGCTGAGCAAGACAAACAGCTGAAACAGCAAGAGATGGAGTTAAGAAGAGAAGCTGACATTGAACTGGACATCCAAAGACAAAAAAACCAGGAGCTGATTAACAAATACCAGAGTGAAAAACAGCAACTACAAAACAAGGTACAAATGACTAACCATGTGACATCTACATGTCTTCATCATGGACTGCTGCTCACCAGAGTAGTGAAGCAGTTTTGCTTTTAAATATTGCTAATATAAAAAAACAACAAAAAACCTTTGCCTAGATCAGAGCATTATAAGCAAAATGCAGTCATTTTGTTATGAAAAAAAAAAAACTTACTATAAAATATCACAATTAATGTGTCAAAGTCAGTTAGTTCTTGGGGTGTCAAATGGTACAACCTAGGGCTGCACGATTGACAAAAATCATAATTGTTGATTATTCCCTTGAAATTGTAATTGCGATTACGATGATCACAATTTACACTGAATGATGTTTATACCATTGTTTGATGCAACTGCATGCCGTATTTTTATATGAAAATAAACAAGCTGAAAACACTCTGAAAACTGAAAAACCTTTAGTGCTTTTCTATAGTATTAAGCCTCAAATATACATCGGACTGGTTTCTTCTTTAAATTATAAAAAAAGTAAAAATATGAATGGTATTATAATGTTATACTACAACTAAATCTAAAACAATGGAAAAACCCTTAAGATAACATGTAGAAGGAAAAAAAACACATATCTTAAGCATGCAGAATAACATAAGTGGACTTTGAACGATTAATTGCCGCTTTGAACGATTATGTAATTGTGGCATCCATAATTGTAATCGTGATTAGAAATTCGATTAATTGTGCAGCCCTAGTACAACCCCAAGAAAGCTTCATGCATAATAATTAAGATGTGTATTTTTAGATGTATTCGTTATAAGAAAATATGTATTTTTGCTATTTATTTTTAAATATGGTTACACCATATTTAGAGTGATTAAATCAAACTTTTGTTGAAAATAGTATAAATGTTTTTCATATGTAACCCAACATGAATACAAAGATTTACATGGCACGTAAATATCCTTATTTGGCCATTTGATCTCAACTGGGTGAGTTCACATTTTCATATAATCCTAATGTAAAACAAACATGTTTGACTTTCTTGGAGGGCTCGAACATGAGACTCGAATCGCTCTCAGTTTCCCACTGAACTAATTAATTACCTGAACTAATAAATTAATTAACTGAATTAATTAATAACCCTCTGATGCATAAATTATTAAACCACAAAGGAAAATATATCGTATCTTAGTTTCTTTTTACATTAAAACAAGAAGAATTATCAATAGTCAGAGATAAGTTGTCATTGACTGACAAAATTAGATTTCGTCCATTATTCATCTTACAGCCAAAATTGTTCTCATAGCTTAGCTGTTCTCATGTTTTAGTTTTCGTTGTTTGTTTTATCACTCGTACTGCTTGTTCTCCCCTGGTGTACGATTGCTTGACTCTACTGAATATTCAATCGGTGGTGTTTGGTTGTTTGAATCGCGACCCCGGAGAAGTCTGCCAGCTGCATCCTCATTATGTGCCAGCCGCATTGAGGAAAATGTGTTACCTGCCGGGGTGTCTGTGCCTGTTTCAAGAAATGCAGAAGGAAGCGTGCTGGAGGCCTTGTGAGATCAAAGAAGTTCGGGAAATATCCTTTCATCGGACCTGCGTCTTCAGTGGCGGAGGCCGTTGATGTGATGCCAAACCTAAGATGCTCATACCTCGTTCCCGTCTTTATCTGTGCCAGTGCTCTGGTCCTCACGGATGGTTCATGTGAGGCGGCGGTCAGGCGATCGAAGAGTAAATCGCCAAAATCTTCGTTTCCTGCGTTATGGAAGTCCGGTAAACGATACCACTTTACACACAGCTGTACCTTTTCCTGACTCCATTCCAGTGACAATGGCCTTGATTAATGCAAGGTCCCTTGCAAATAAGTCTTTTATTTTGAATGATCTTTTTCTCTCTCATGAATTAGACTTCTTATTTGTAACTGAGACTTGGCTCAACGTCGGTGAAACGACTCCTCTCTCTGAACTTTCTCCTCCTGGTTGTAGTTTTTTTAGTACACCCAGGTCTGTTGGCCGTGGTGGTGGTCTTGCTGTTATTTTTAAAGACAGGTTCAAATGCAGACTTTTACCTTCTGAGTCTCATTGTACGTTTGGAACTCAGTTAATTATGTTGAATTCTTTTAAATCTGTGTTGTGTTTTGATTTATAGACCCCCAAACATGCATGGGGATTTTATTCAGGAGTTTTCTGAATTTGTATCTGTAATTGTCCCTTCTTTTGAAAATATTTAAATTTTGGGGGATTTCAACATACATGTTTGTTGCCCTTCAAAGCCCCTGGTTAGTGAGTCATTTGATCTTTTACAGTGTGTTTCTGGTCCAACACATGAGCGTGGTCATACTCTTGACCTTGTATTATCTTTGGGGTTTTCAGTTAGTGGGGTGAAAATTGCAGACACTGTTTTCTCTGACCACAAGCCCTTTTTAGCCCTACTTTCCCATGTAGTACTCAGATTATGAATGTTTCTTCTTCTATTGCTTCTCGTGCTCTTACTCCTTGAACTGCTAGTAAATTTTCAGCAGCCTTTGGAGTTTCTCCTTTAATTCGCTTGATTGAGTCTCCCTCTCTTTGTATTGGACCTGAACAGTCGGTCAATCAGTTCAACTCTACATGTTCAGATATTTTAGATCTTGTGGCTCCTTTGGAAATTAGGAATAAAAAGGTCAAGACACAGCCCTGGTTGAACAGTAATACCCGTGTTCTCAGGCAAGAGTGCAGAAGGGCCGAACGTAAATTGCTTAAAGATAAACTACAGGTTTCTTATGAGATTTTGAAGAGTTGTTTGAGTGAATAACAAAGAGCTGTTAAATTAGCTAGATCTAATTATTTTTCTGATATTATCTCGAGGAACTGCCATAATTCTAGAGTGCTTTTTTCTACTATAAACACTGTACTCCATCCTGTTGTTATGCCATTACTCTTTCCTTCTGTTAACACATGTGAAAAGTTTTTAAACATTTTAATTGATAAGACTGCTGGAATTAGATCCCAGATTTAATCTGTTACTAATGATTTTATTGTACACTCTGTCCTTCCAAATCAATTGACTTGTTTTACGCCGGTATCTCTTCCACAACTCAAAGAAATAATTGTGTACATGAAGCCCACTAGGTCTCCCTGTGATGTGATTCCTTCTCTTTTATTTAAAGAAGTGGTTAATTCTATTGTTACATGCATTTTAACTATTATGAATAGTAACTTGACATTTGGTGTTGTTCCTCTTAGTTTTAAACATGCAGTTATCCAGATCCTTCTTTAAAAAGCTGGTTTAGACTCCTCTGATATTAATAATTTTCATCCCATTTCAAAATTGCCTTTTATTTCAAAGATACTGGAGAAGATTGTGTATGCACAGCTTAATGATTTTTTGGTGAAGAACAACATTTCGAATAGATTTCAGTCAGGGTTTAGAGCTGGCCATAGTACAGAATCAGCTCTTTTGAGGGTTACTAATGATATTCTACGTGGTGCTGATTCTGGAAGTTGTGTTGTTCTGTTACTTATAGATCTTAACGCAGCATTTTACACAGTTGACCATAACATTCTCATTGATCGCCTTAGAGACCATGTAGGCATTCAGGGTTTAGCCTTAGAATGGTTTTCTTCATATTTAAAAGATAGGACTTTTTCAGTCAGTCTAGGGAATTACTCTTCATCTGTTGCCCCACTCATGTGTGGGGATCCTCAGGGTTCAATCCTGGAACCGGTTTTGTTTTCCCTTTATATGCTCCCTCTAGGATCAATTTTTGAAAAACACGGCATTCATTATCATTTGTATGCTGATGACTCACAACTTTATTTACCATTGAAACGCAAGGATATTTTATCCATTCAATCTCTGTATGAATGTTTGGCTGAGGTTAAGTGTTGGTTGGCTAATAATTTTCTCCAACTGAATGAGAATAAGTCTGAGATTATTTTATATGGTAAAAAGGGACGTGTGGATGATGTCACTGACTGCCTGGGGTTACTTCCTGGGAAAAATCTTTCTAGTGTGAAAAACCTTGGTGTCATTTTTGACTCAGAGCTCAAATTAATGCCGTTGTTAAAAATAGTTTTTTTCATCTTAGATCTATATCTAAGTTGAAGTCTATCCTTTCTTTTGAGGACTTGGATACAGTTGTGCATGCTTTTGTGTCATCTCGTTTGGATTATTGTAATGTATTGTATCTGGGTGTGAGTCAGGCCTCTCTCTCCCGCCTGCAGCTTTTTCAGAATTCAGCAGCTAGTCTTTTAACGGGTACCAAGAAGAGAGAGCATATTACTCCTGTGCTTATTAAATTACACTGGCTTCCTGTACGATACAGGATTCATTATAAAGTGCTATTATATGTTTTTAAAGCTTTGCATGTTTTAGCACCAGAGTATATTTCTGATTTAATCAGTTTGCATCAATCCAATAGGTCTTTGCGTTCTAACGATCAATTACATCTGATGGCACCTCGATCTCGTTTAAAATGTAAAGGTGAACAGGCCTTTCCTGTTGCTGCTCCAAGGCTTTGGAATGACCTTCCTCTGTCTGTCAAATCTTCTCCTACACTACCTGTATTTCAGAGTGTGCTTAAAACTAATTTGTTTTCATTAGCATTTAAAAATGTCTTGTAATTTGTTCTTTGTTGTTGTTGTGGTATATGTTTATAATGTTTTGTGCTTGATTTTATTTTTGTATTTTTATTTAGTCATCCTGTACAGCACTTTGGTTTTGAAAGTGCTTTAGAAATAAATAAAGTTAAAAGTTGACGCCCCCCCCCCACACACACACACACACTCACATAGAGCCCCCTGTGTCTGTTTCCATGTCTCTTGTTTGGTTTTTGGCTCACACCTCTCCTTTGTTCATGGCCATAAATGATGTCTGATTACTGTCTGTCCGGTGGAGCCTGATACTCGGTGTGTGCATGTGCGTGTGAGTTTGGCCGGAGGAAGATTGGTGGAGGCAGGTCTACTGGTCCAGAAGTGATGTTGAGAGGTTTTGTCTGTCTGCATGCCACAGATGAGGGGTTGCTGGGCATGGCCTAAATGGGGAGGAGATTTGGGAGCAAAGGGGTTAAGGGCAAGTTGATGTGATGCCAAAATATCTTTATCTACCCTATATATACACAATAGGGGTCAAAAGTTGGAATAATTACAATGTTTTAATGTTTTTGAAAGAAAATTCTTATTCTCACTATGGTTGCATTTATTTGATGAAATATGCATTAAAACAGTAATATTGTGAAACATTATTATAATTTAAAATTGTCACATTTTCTATTTGAATATAATTTAAAATGTAATTTATTCCTGTGATGGCAAAACTGTACCATTACTCTAGTCTTCAGTGTCAAATGATTCTTCGGAAATCATTCTAATACAGTGATTTGGCGTTCATTATCGATTAGTGTTGGTGATCATTTATTAAAGGGGTCATATGATGCGATTTTTCTGTTACACCAAATACACAAAATAATGATCTTTAAAAAAGCATCATATGACCCCTTTAATAGTAGCTCTTATTATAATCATTGTTAAAAACAGCTTCTGCTGCTTAATATTTTTGTGGAAACTGAGATGCATTTTTTTCAGGATTCTTTGATTAAAAGAAGTTCAAAAGAACAGAATTATTTAAAATATAAATATTTTCTAATGTTATCAATTTCTTCACTGTAATTTTAAATTAATTAAATGTGCCATTGTTCAAAAAAAAAATAATAAGAATAATAATTTGTTAGATTTTTAAAGATAGTCATAGTCATCAGGACAAATGTTTTTTGGTGTCTGTGTGTGTGCTTTTCTTTTTTTTTCTCCAAACTATATTTGCATGTCTGTCTATCTCTCCTTCTCTCTTTTGCTCTAGATTCCTGCTCTCATTCATTCAGCCGTGCAGGAGCTCCATGAGGAGTTGGCAGTGCTGCAGGAGCGCATTAAAGAGCAGGAGAAAGAGATGAAGCATGTTTGTGAGAGCGCCTCCCAGAGGCAGCATCAGCTCCTGGAAGAGCGGAGGACAGGAGAGGCACAGCTGCAGTCAGCCCTGCAGGAGCTGCAGGAGAAGACACAGGAGCTGAACCAGGCTCAGATTAACATACAGCAGCTCAAAGAAGAGAGGGCCACCCTACAGGAAGAGGTGAGGCATTCCCCCTCCGTTCACTTACAGGTGGGAGTTTTAGAAGGGTTATTGACACACGAATGGGCCATAGCCTGTCAGTCTAGAAATGGATTTAACTCACTGCACATTTATACAATTTCTTAGCACTTCATAGGAAGAACTAGCTGCTAGTGATACCGCAATGTTCATGTATATAGTCTTTAGTGTGGGTATACTTTTACTAATGCATGCTGGGAGTGCTAATTTCATTTATATGTCAAACCAGATTTCAAATTTAAGAAAAAAAATATATTAGGGGTTACCTGTAAAAGGGAAAACCTGTCACAGAAAGAAACATTTTACAATAAATTGTGAAATGTTAATTTTAGTTAGTTGAATGTATGTTTGGGGTTAGTACAATGATTTTTTAAATATATACTTTTATTTAGCAAAAGTGGCAATAAAGAATATATATATATTAAAAAATCTAATAAATAATTTAAAAAACTTAAACTTTTTGAAAAGTAGTATATCTTTTTAACATTGTAAAAGTAAATAAATAAATGAAAACATTTTAACTGTATCATAAAAAACTATATATTAAACCCTGAAGTGTAGTATATTTATAAATTAATTTAACCTAAATTAATAAATCCTTTAGAAAAATGAGTACATTTTAGTTCATGATACCTAATGCATTTACAGTATAAATGTTAACACATTGAAACTTGTAAAATGTTACCAAATGACCACAGGAATTGAAGCTGGAATGATTTGTATCAAGGACGCAGAATTCTACATTCCTCTTGGTGCACAGAAAAATATACAGTGCCGTGAAAAGGTTTTTACCCCCTTTCTGTTTTTTAAATTTCTTGCATATGTCGCACTTAAAAGATTCAGATCATGAAACAAATTTTAATATTACATTACATTACAAGATAACCCGAGTAGATACAAAATGCAGTTTTGAAATAATGATTTCATTTATTAAGGGAAAAAGGCTGTCCAAACTTGCCTGGCCCTACGTGAAAAAGTAATTGCCCCCTAAATCTAATAACTGGATGTGCCACCCTTTGCAGCAATAACTGCAATCAAACATTTGCGATAACTGGCAATTAATCTTTCACATCGCTGTGGATGAATTTTGGCCCACTCTTCTTTGCAGAATTGTTTTAATTCAGCCACATTGGAGGGTTTTCGAGCATGAAAGGACTGTTTAAGCTCATGCCACAGCATCTCAATTGGATTTAAGTCCAGACTTTGACTTGGCCACTCCAAAACCTTAATTTTGTTTTCTTGAGCCATTCAGAGATGGACTTACTGGTGTGTTTGGGATCATTGTCCTGCTGCATAACCCAAGTGCGCTTGAGCTTGAGGTCACAAACTGACGGCCGGACATTCTCCTTCAGAATTTCTGATAGAGCGCAGAATTCATGGTTCCATCAATTATGGCACGTCGTCCAGGTCCTGAAGCTGCAAAACAGCCCCCGTTTTTGCCCAGTCTCTTTCTTATTGTTGAATCATGAACACTGACCTTAATTGAGGCAAGCGAGGCCTGCAGTTCTTTAGATATTGTTCTGGGTTCTTTTATGACCTCCTGGATGAGTTGTCGTTGCGATCTTGGAGTAATTTTGGTAGGCCGGCCACTCCTGGGAAGGTTCACCACTGTTCCAAGTTTTTTCCATTTGTGGATAATGGCTCCGACCGTGGTTCGCTGGAGAACTTTCCAGACTGATACAGGGCTGCCCCCTAACCGTTAGTCGACAAGAAGAGGCTTGGTCAACCAAAATGTTTTTAGTCGCTTAGTCAGAAAAAAAAATAATAATCCACAGGCGAAGTCACGCAGTTTGTGACGGACAGATCGTTAACGGCTAGTCTATGGTAATACAGTAGCCTACATCAGGCAGGACATCCAAACACTCACCTATCATTCATCCTCCACAAATACGGCTTATCATCTGAAATATGTAAGTATTAGCAACTTTACATGACCTCTCAATCTAATGTTAGGCTAGCCTAGAAAAATGTGCGCTATTAAAGTGTCTGTGTGGAGTGTAGAAGCGTGCACACTGCAGGACAGATGGAGGCGCGGGTACGGTCAATTGCTCTTTAAATTCTCCATAATTTCTGTTCATACAGATAAGAGTAATACATCTTTCGAATCTGTAAAGACTCTACGTTTATTTATTTGCACTCACAATAACAACAAAACATTGCGCTTTTGTAAAATAATGAAATGCACTTTCTGCCGTCGTGTCTCCGTGAACTTGAGCACGAAACTCCGTGTATGCTTGCCTTACAGTCATAGAAAAAATATATCCATAGAGAGGGAAATGTCTACTTTATGAAATGCACTTTCTGCCGTCGTGTCTCCGTGAACTTGAGCACGAAACTCCGTGTATGCTTGCCTTACAGTCATAGAAAAAATATATCCATAGAGAGTGAAATGTCTACTTTCAAATGAACCAAATCAAATGGAAAACAAATATTCTCGGATTATGTAATCCGTATGAAACATGCATACAGGTGCATCACAACTGCGGAGATGACGAGTTACGTCGACTTCATCTCTTAAACCGAAAACAAAAAAAGCAGTATTTTATCAATAAATTATGAAAATATTAATACAGCCTCCTTAACTGTTTTTCCCTGACACATTCATAATCATTAGCTTCTGCGGTGCGCTGTGGCAAGCTTTATGTGTGTGCTTGAGCGCGTATTAGGCTATGTAGGCAATTAAAGGCTCATTATAATGATTTAAATTGTTTATTAATAAATGTGCGATTAGTCGACTAATGCTTAAAATGAACGACTACTAGTCGACCAGAAAAATCTTTAGTCGGGGGCAACCCTAGATACATGTCAACTATTTTGTTTCTCATCTGTTATTGAATTTATTTAGATCGCGGCATGATGTGTTGCTCTATAAGCATGCTTCACTTTGTCAGACAGGTTCTATTTAAGTGATTTCTTGATTCAACAGTTCTGGCAGTAATCAGGCCTGGGTGTGTCTAGTGAAATTCAACTCAGCTTTCTAAAATAATGTGGTTAATCACGGTTCTTTCATGATTTAACAGGAGGGGGCAATTAATTTTTCATGTAGGGCCAGGTAGGTTTGGACAGAATTTTTTTTCCCTTAATAAATTAAATCATAATTAAAAAAAAATGCATTTTGTATTTACTTGCATTATCTTTATGTAATATTAAAATTTGTTTGAGGAAGGGGCAAAACACTTTTCACAGCACTGTATTATAGTGTGAGTCTTGAAGTTTTTATTATTTAATATATTTAATAGTTGGGCATGATTGTGTGTTTTTGAAGTTGAGATATTAGGATTTGTACTTGATAAACTAGGCTACATTGAACCACAATTGATTTGGTTGTATTGATCTGGTTTTAAATGGCTTTTTACCGACCTCTAGAGGTAAAAAAAAAAGTAAAGTGCAAGAGCTCTGACACAATTCAAACACTGCTTGCACAAAGCAGACAATTGGTAATGAAGGCCAATAACAATGGATCATACTAATAAAACCATGACAGGTGTCCATCACTGATATGCTGAGACAGCTTTTTTTTTTTTTTTCTGAGACGTCATTTATATCACAGTGCAAAAATGAAGCAAGCTAAGATTTAGACAGGCAGTCTAGTAGCTTACTACTAAAGTATGCAGACGTGAGACATCAACAATCGTGACCAACATCAGGATTCATATTAACAACTGAAATGACTGGCACACAGACCTTACCCAGGTCAGAGAAGAGAACAAGAATAAATATCCAGAACCAAAATAAGAAACAGCAGAGTTGACATGTGCCTGTGTGAGAGTGTGGGAAAGATGAGTGAATCATTCTAGTCAGACAGCGAGTATGTGGGGCAGTACTCTGTTGACACGCATGCCTGTGTCTCCAGGGGGCAGTCTGTGGTTTCAGTCACGACACTCTTGTCAGTTCTCGCTCTCATATTCTCCCACTCCAAAAGCCCTTTCCTCCGCCCCTCAGGGTCCGCCATCCACCTCCACCCTCCTCGGCCCGCTCCTCTCTTTCGCTCTCTCTCTCTCTCTCTCTCTCCTCCATGTCTCGCCAGTTCATCTAGTTCAAGGTGCCGTGACGTGAATTTCACAGCTGACATATTCTTTTATGCCGGCCCCAGAGCGCAGCGTCTCTCCCGCTCTCATCTCCCTCCCCACTTTCAAAGCAAATGGCTTTCTTTTGTGGGAAAGATTTCGCTGCATTTTAAGAATCCATTAAAGCTAACTAAGATCTGACTGTGATATAAAATCGATACCTAAGGGCATTTAACGCTTCACCTTTCAAAAGAAGCACCTTCTTGATGTTCTTTTCCCTTCCTCCCCCTCTTGCGCTCTCTTTTTCTCTCGGCCTTTTCATCTTGTCTTTGAACTGTGCCTGCTCTCTTCAGAGGCATGTGAGATATTTTCAGACTGTAGTTGATGTTTATGAGGATTTATGAGGTTGCCGGTTCAAGAGCAAGTGGGAAAGACTATAGCTCTCCTCCTAAATTAAATGTGCTGCCTACCTAGACAGTATTTTAAGACATCATAGATGCAGTCTTGACACAAAAGCTGGTCTAAATTGCTCCCTTCAAAGAGACCTAATTTTTGTTAATTTTAAAGGCAGCATAATTTTTTTATCCTTAGCAAATAAGCCAATCTTAGTGATGAGGGAAACAATTTATTCAAGATGGCAGATGAGTCTTAAGAAATGTGATTAAAATTAGATTAGATTTCTTTTGTTGCCCAAAAGCTTCAATACAAATAATTAAATCTAATTAGAAATATTCAGTTTAATATTTCTGTGCGCTATTTGTAGACATGTTAGATTATTACATTGTTAGCTTAGCAGTATGCTAATATCACTTTTGTTTTGTATTGTTACAGAAATAATTAATATAATAAATACATATATACTCACTTTCATTAAAATGTTTGGGATCAGTATGTCTTTTTAAAGAAATTAATACTTTTATTTGGGGAGGGTGAATTAAATCGATCAAAGTGATAGTAAAGACATGTATAATGTTA